AGCTACATGGACACAGAGCAATATGAAGAGGCCGTACGGGACTATGAAAAAGTTTATCAGACAGAGAAAACCTCAGGTGAGCTGCTCTCCTTGTTTTCCTAAGCTCTGAATGAATTTAATGTTCAGTTTTTCTCACATGGCTTGCATTTCTCTTTCCCTCCAGATCACAAGCAAATGCTGAAGAAGGCACAGATGGAGCTGAAGAAGAGCAAAAGGAAAGATTACTACAAGGTGCTCGGGATCGGGAAGAATGCCACTGAGGACGAGATCAAGAAAGCGTACCGCAAACGAGCCCTCATGCATCACCCAGGTAGCTGTCCTAGTCTTTCCACACAGTTCACACTAGTACAGCTCACAGTAATCAGGGCTCTGCCTAGAGTATTGGTCAGATTTAAGTGCAGTGTGCACACAGTAGGTCAAGGCCAACCAATGACAAGACAACGCATCACTTTTTCTCTGTACTTTACACATTACAATAACCAGTGAATTGTGTTAGGATCATGAGCCAGCTGAGCTACAACATCACTTAACAGTTGAGTCTCACTTATCTCGAGGATTTATTGTAGACAACCGTTGAAATTGTCTTGCAGACCGTCACAGTTCAGCAACACCAGAGGTGCAAAAGGAGGAGGAAAAGAAATTCAAAGAAGTGGGTGAGGCCTTCACTGTCCTCTCCGACCCGAAGAAGAAGGTCCGCTATGACAACGGGCACGACCTGGAGGATGACGGCTGTTTTGATGGCGGAGGTACATTTTCTGTGCTCCTATCAGCTTTTCACATTTTTCTCAAAGAGTTCTCCATTGAGTTGGGAAACGGGTGCTTCTAAAGAAAAGAGTAACCCAGAAGATATTTTGACCTGTCATAGTGGGAAATAGCAGTGGCTTTGTCATTTATTATAGGGCATTTGTTTGTACTTGGGTAATTATTAAGACCAATAGACTTTTTAGACCTAGTAGGAAACCCAGGAGATCATGATTGTCTGAACAATGGTCGTGTGTACATTTGAAAAAGGGCAAAAACCTTTTTAAGGGTTTTGGGTTTTCTGTAGACTTTGTATATGATTATTGCCCAGTTTTACATGAGAAAGTTCCAAGATTTTTTGGGGTCTCATTTAAATTAAACACTGAGACATGTCAACACAGAAAAAAGTACAAAGCACAATTTAATTTCCATAATTTAGTTTCTAGAAACTCCGGTCCATTCCCCGTGTCCCTGACCTGCTGTCAAGACTCTAATGGGACGCTTTAACAGAACACAGACAAATTTTCATACATTACTAACCATTTTCTGCAATGTCAGTTAAAATGTCTGCTGGTGTAAGAAGGCCTTTTATAATGTGACATCCCATGACGGTCCCTTCAAAATCAAGTGTCAGTCGCCTTTAGGTAATGGGACTGAGTGATATGGCTAAAAAAAACAAAAACTTTGTATCTCAAACTAATATCTGTGTGCCTAAGAGAAACTACAATATATGCTACAAAATAAAATCGTTAAGTCTATTGTTAAAGTTTTACTACTAATTTTTATCATAAAAACCTTGTTTCTCTACTAAAGTAAACAAAATATTTAATTTAAAAAAATGGTGTAAAATATGTGAGAAGATGTGCGGAGACGGTGGAGTGCTGGCGGAGGCGTCCCTTGGCTTTGCTGGCCATTGTTATTGGAAGTGAAGTGCTCTCCATTGCCAGTTTATAAGAAGCTGCAGCTGTCAGCAGTGATTAAGTCACTGAAATCAGCCGCAAAGCAGCAGTAAAGTAGTAAAGCTGATTGGTCCAACTCACGCAAAAATGTTCAACCTTTTCTTCTCCAGAAAAGGAAATAAGATTCATTTATAGCCAAAATGCAGACAATTACAACATGTATGTGCTAATCCACATAGAAACTATGAATCAACTTTTACAAACACGGTTATTATATATATCTTCCACCTCTAATAGGTTCCACTGTTTCTAAGTCTCATCTTAGAACATCACTGTATGTGATTAGTGGCAGCATGTTTTGGTCTTTTCAGTGTCACCTTGTGGTTATAATTGTAAAGGGTTTAGAGGTAAAATCTTCTGAAGTCACCGATCTGCCTGCAGGAAATAAAATTTGCGATGCATGTTGTTGTCTATATACTGCTGTGGAGACAAAGTCCAGTGAAAACAATGTGCAAAATCTTCCTTTAGAAAGGATACATTTTTAAAGCTACTAATTTGATTCAAAAGTTGTTTTCAATATATGGACATAAAACAAAACTAACATAGGAGGCAACAATGTTGCATTATGTTTTGTTCAGAAAGTTGGCTGTAAAGCTTCAGAAGATATTAATTGTTTTGAATATTTCTCACAGAATACAACAAAGAGCAACATACCTTGTGAAAAAAGTAGAAATCCAATTCATACTGTGACGTACAGGATTTATCAGCAGGCTGAAATTACGGCTGATACTGGCTAATTGCTGATCAGCTGGTATCACATATATAACAGCTGATATGGAAGAAACCCTTTGACAAGGTTACGAGTGTTGATGTTGCCCAGTTTGTCCACCAGAGGGCGCTTTGCAACTTCACAAGAGCAACAACCAGCTGATCAAAGTAGAACTAAATAAGTAAATGTTTGGGAATTTTTTTGTATTGTGTGTCTGAAAAGGAAAAATATTGGCTGATATATCTGATTTTTAAATCGACAAATATCTGTACTGTTCTAATACTGGTTTGCCAGTATGAGGCTACACTAGGTTACAGATTGGACCTGTACTTAAAAAAAAAACACTTGTAGTTCCTGTTTCTCTGTAAATTATATGTGCAATATATCACATAAATTGTTCTCCTTGCTCTTTTCCCATCTTTGGCTTCCTTTTATCCTCCATGTTAACCTTGCTCTACTTCCTGTTTCTACAGATTTTGATGCAAACAACATCTTCAGGGCTTTCTTTGGTGGCCACAGTGGAGGATTCACTTTCGATTCCAGCCCAGGTACGTTTTTTCTTCACTCCATGGTTTTTATATATACATAATATAGGTTTATTGAACACTAACTGAATATTTGTTTTGTGATTTATTACAGACTCTGGACCTGGAAATTTCTTTTTCCAGTTTGGCTAAAGCAGTGGAGCATACACTGGACAAAGTCAAGTCGGACCCACAGTCACCTCATGATGCTCATACTTATGAGTGTCCTGTTAAAATCTCATTTAAAAAAAATCTTCTTTTTAAATACCACATACATTCCTAAATTAACTCCCTTGCATTGATGCTCAGCCTTTGAGAAGGATTCAAACATTGATGAAGTCTTTAAAAAGTCTTTTAGATGCAGTTTGCATCAGCTGGGCAGAGCTTGTCTCTATTGCCAAAATTGACATTTATGTTCTATGAAATTTTATGTTGTTAAACTGCCTCAGTCTCTATGAAGGGGATGAACAGTGAAGACATACTGGCCATCATGTCTTGATTATTTTGAGAAGCTGTAACGATTTATACGTGTTTAAAGTTCTCCTTGGACTGCACATCTCTAGTGGGAGAGCTGATGTTCTGTGGAAGTTCAGTGACAAATCTGACCTCAGGACAGCCTGTTAATGACAACGCCGTTCTCTTATGAGTGTGCGTCCAGATTTTACCGGCTCTCTTGCCAAATACAGAATCCAGTTGCAGGGTTTTTATTTCCTCTCCATTCTTCATTGTATATTTGACTCGAATGTAAAACATTATGTGTCCACACATTGTCCTTCAGTCTTCCCTGAGTCTATTTATATTTATTGTACTGTATATTCTAAAGTGTATGCAGCAAAATCCCAGTGATGTTTGTCTTCCTTTGTTTGTAAATGTTTTTGACCCCATCCTTTTCACCTGTCTGAAACGGACCCACATAGGAATACATCCACACTTTGTTTTTGTTTTTTTCTTTTCAAAGCAACTTCACAAACGTCATCCACATGTTGCACTGCCCCATTCAAATTCAAGTGGTGCCTTACTAGAATCAGTGAAGCGTCCTAAATAAATCCACATACTAGTTCAAAAAAAAGGCAGATGTTACACTTGTATTGCAATTTTTTTGGTTTTATGATAATCTGGAGGAAAATCTTTTCATCTTGGACCCGTGTCATCAGTCACACCTTGCTGTCATTCATCCATTCATCAGTACAACCCTTCCCCTACTTGTTCCACCTGTTTAAAAGGGGCACTGATAGCTTCCACTGTTAACTGTTCTGTCACTGATGTGTACATTATGTTTAAAAACTTGCTACGGTATTAACAAGACCTTTTTTCTTTTTTTTTCTTCCTTTTTTTGGACTTTTTTTTTTTAACTGATAAAATAAAGGCTTGTCTTTTACTGTAATGAGTTTTGTCTTTGACTTTGTTCCTGATGATTACTTTTAAAAGACAGGATATCTGGGTGCATGCAGGACTTTCATCTTGTCCAGCAGGTATATGTAATCACTTTGATCACTTACAGATTCATATCACACTGCATATGAATAATGATTCACTGCGAAAATGACTTTGTTTACAACTCTGGTTTCACTGAGTGCTGAAGTGAAGGAGCGGTGTTAAGAAAGTTCCTCTTTCTTTTATAGGTTTCACAGTGACTTCTTTTTATAATGATCTATAAAAATTGGAGACATTCAAGCTTGTTGAAAGCTCCTCGGCACATTTTAAATCAAATAACCAGCTATAGAATGACTCGAATAAAACCCCCTTTGGGGTTTTTCTTTGTAAATTTTAACCAACGTGCTTTTCACCTTTGTTATTGATTTCAGGCTTCCCTGGTAACTCCAAAGAAAGTAATTTTTAAAATCAATATTTGTAAATATTGGCAAATTCAGATTTTTTTACTATAACTATTTGTAGTGCAGGACCTAAAATAAGAGTTGTGTTTAAAGAGAAGCGGGAAGGGGGCGTCAATAACATTTTCTAGGTTGGCCAATTTTTAAAAAAAAATTTTTTAACGATGCCGTGGCCGTGACTGACGTCACCACGTGACCTGTTTTAAGCCAATCAGGCACTCGTGGAGACGTGTAATCGGTCGCCAGATTATGGTTCGACAGGAGCGGAGTGAGGTGGCAGGGACTGGCAGCAGTTGACTCCGATATAATAAGAGCTGGCTGTTTAGCTGTGTCATTTTTTTGGCCTGGACACGATCCTTCAAGAAGGTGTGATTGTCACTGACAAGGTAACAGCTTTCACTCAGCTACTTTCTACTCCAGCTAGCCACCTTTTCTTTGTAGCCTTTAACTGGCAAGTATCCGCACCAATGCGAGGCTACAGCAGCTAGCTGTAGTGTTAGTCTTCAGGGTAGCGGATGTGAGATGATGTGAGGGCTGTCTGCCAAAACTGCAGCCAAGTGCTAGCTCGGCAAAGCAAGAACAAGTATGGTCTTTATTGAAATTGTTTTGCCCAATTGTTTTGCTTGAAAACAGCATATCTGAAGTGATGTGCTTTACTTTTTCAGTGATAAAAGCAAGCTAGCTTATCCTTGCATCATCCGCAGAGAGGGAGCATCCCCCTGTTTTATTCCTTATCGTGAAGGTTTTCGTACTGCATTTATTTCTTCTCTCCCGGAAGTTCTTTCTCTATTTACCCAGAGTGAGCTAGCTAAAGTTGTTGTCAGGCTTGCCTGGCTGGCTGGTTCAGGAGTGGGTGTGGTGGCTGCTACAGGAGCTTCATTCATAGGATAAGTGATGCTAACCCCTGAGTTCGTCTGACAGCAGCTGTGTCTGAAGCAGCACCCAACCCCCCTTGGTTGCCACTCTAACAGCTGCCATCAGGTCCAGCTTCTTCATCCCACAAGCCTGGACAGCACAACTAATTGCACGGCAAGGTAGCTTCATATAATACACTGGACCCGTGGATTAATCTGGCTAAATTCTGGACATCCGTCTCTAAAAGTGGAAGGATAGCCTGCTGTGATGAAGCTGTTAGATTTCTTGATTTCTCTAAGCGCTGCTCCTCCTTAGGTTACCAGAAGCTCAAATATAAACCACCATAAAATGTTATCGGTGACACGGAGGTAGAGGCGATAAGATCCACATAATCAAGGCTCATCACTGCTCATTACAACTTTGCTTGGTTGGTGGGTGACTTGGTAAATGTAAAATTTTTAGGCTTTTTAATGCATTTCTTTTTTATACACCATAGTGTGCTGCATCTTATTATACTGAACTTTAGGCTATGAACCCAAAAAAACAGTCGCCTAAATATTCATGATTGTGTATATTTGTGGTGAGGCAAAGTTGGTTGAGCACGCCCAACAACTTCTTGGGATGTTAAAACAGGAATGACAAGGTCATCACTGCAGGCGGTTGTGGTAATCTGTCACGTGTTTACTGTAAGATTGAGAAACGAGTTTGACTGAGAGCTTGTTTAGTATTTGGTTTATATATATTTTTGATTTTTCTAATAACTTGGTTCTCTACTTTTGTGTTTGGCTGAACTTAATCTGCAAAATAAGTCTTTTTAGATGTGTGCATACAGAATTTGACACTTATTATGGGCATGAAGGTCATGGTGTCATGGGCTTTGGTTTATTTGAACTGCTCCTTCTCCACAGTGGAATTTTTTTCACAGTATACATCTCTACCAATATTTGGCTAAATTTCCCTTTGCAAATTTTGCCTAAACAATGTACTTTTGCTATCCATCAAAATGCACCTGTGCATTGTTCTAATTTTTAACTTAACTGGGAATAGAGTCCAAACTTATCAGTTTTCGTCCTTCCCCAAAGGTCCTGCTCTATCCAGCGCTGCCATGTCGGCAAAGGCCATCTCAGAGCAGACAGGGAAAGAGCTGTTGTATAAGAACATCTGCACCTCGGCGGCCGTGCAGAACCGTTTCCATTATGCTAGTGTAACAGCTGAGACTGACTGGGCCCGCCTCACACAGGACCATTCATGGCTGCTGACAGAGGTAAGACTGTTTGTTTGTCCAGCTCGTGAAGTTCATTTACCTACATGTGCTGTACTATAACAATCAGAGTGACTTGCATAGACTGTATAAAAGATGCACACAGCTGTCAGGTGAAGCCATTTTGCACTGCCTTTAATGGTCACCAGGGGCACATTAAAAACAATGCAGGTTTTAGACATTTTGCTATCACAGATTACAAAAGATTTAAAGTCCTAACCCTAGTCCTCAGTGTTTCAAAGCAGGACTTCCACCCCAACCAGTGGGTTATGTCACATCAATCTTTTATAGTATCAGTGGTGACTGACTGGACAGATCTGAATTGTCTCTGAACCTTTGCTGTGCCCATGTGTCAGCGCAACAACATGTCTGGCTCGTGTGTTTCCTGTTTCGGCAGTTGATTGGCTCTCTCACAGCAGGGCTGGGAAACCCTACCTATCTTTTATTGTTTCTACCATAGTCATACCATAGTGTCATACCAAAAAAAGACCATGTGTGTCCTGTTTCTTCTGTTTGCTCATCCTAAAAGAGGCTGGTGGTGAAGCCAGATCAACTGATAAAGCGGCGCGGGAAGCTCGGCCTAGTGGGCATCAACATGGACCTGCAGGGCGTCCGGGAGTGGCTCAAAGACCACCTAATGAAGGAGACAACTGTGAGTTAACTGTACTCTCTCTTAGTGAGCATAAAACACAGCCATGACTGTCTTTGTGGCAATAAAGCAAATCCACATGCTGCAGTAGTTAGAACCACGAGAAACACATTGCATCATTTTCTGAGGGGGTATTTGATTCGAATGCAGTGACTGTTGCCAAGTAGAACATGACTGACGTGCTGTTCATGTTTAAAACGTCATCAACCAGAACCATATATGAGGATGACTTTGCTTGGCTAATACAGGGCTGTTGTTGAGCAAAAGTTAGTTCAACATTTTTGTGAGATGATCAAGCGTCTTTTTTTTTCAGTAAAGTTACTCTGAACCTAGATTAACTGGTTATTTATCTGGTCTGGTCTTGAACAGCCTGAGCTGGCAAGTCTTTAAATAAATCAACATTTAAAAAAGTAATCCCCACAGAAACTGTAGTATTAATACTATATTTGGTCTCTGAAACACCACAAAGGATCTTCATTTTGATATGAAAAGCACGTGGAGGATTTTGCCTCAGTTGCCCTGCTGCTGCCTGTTTTTAATTGATATTATTTGCCCTTCTACTCTTAATAAGCTATTTGGATGTGAAATGGATGAACTAGAACTTTGAAGGTAGTTTGTAATGATGACAAGACCTAGTAAATGACAGGTCAATTTAAATTTTTTATGTTATTCTTAAAGTTTCACTTTCACTTTAATATATAATACATGTAGTTTTCCTCTCAGTGTAGTGTTTGTGACCAGGTGTTTTCCTTGAATAGGTGGGAAAGGCAAAGGGTGTGCTGAGGAACTTCCTCATTGAGCCATTTGTCCCACACACACAGGTAATGTATGCAAGTATCTTGTCTTTCAGTCTAACACTCTCTAAGCTCCTCAGAGTTTGGAGAAGTTTTGTCGAACAGTTGGATTTGTGTCATCAGCAGTTATTTCTCCTGTTGTAACTTGAATATGCTGAATGGTCTACGGTTTCTGTGGTCTCAACTTCACAGCTAATCCCTTCTTGTCATGTCTTGTGTCTTGTCAGCAGGACAGATCCTGTATTTACATAAATGTTTTATTTTAATTAAGATTTGGTATCATTCAGAGTTTCCCTGTTCAAACCAGGTTGTCACAGCAAAATATAGTTAAGCTCAAAAATAATTTACTAAATACAGATACTCATACACAGCTTATCAGTCCATCCGTGATTGCTTCATTTTTACAAGAGGAGCTTGTTGTTATCAGCATGTTAATTTATACGGTTATTTTTAGTTTAAAGTATTGCGTAATGGTAACTCTTTCGTAGAGGTAGCCTTAAACTTCTATCATAGGGTATAATTCACACGTGTACTTTGCACCTTGTATTAAGAGCCAATGTGATATTTCCTGCAGCTGCCCTCAAAGAATTCTGAACAGAATGAAAGTATTGCATCACAGGGCCTCTGATGTGAGAAGAATTTGTAAAAAATAGCTTCCTTTATTTTAAATGAAGCACACTGCTGCATCCTGTCAGACTGAAAGAGGAAAAGGGGAATCAAATTCTTATACAAATCATCTGATGAGCTTCTGCTGACGATGTTGGCAGGTCATCAGCTGGGGCCATGTCTGACCCGGATTATCCTCCCCCCAGATGATTAATTAAATTACCTTGTGGCCTTTTAAAAAAAAAATTGGTCTGTAGGAAAACCCTTCATACCTACTTTAGAGAGTATTTTTTAATTTTCCTTGGTGTGCTGTGCTTCTTTAAATATATAGTAATAATTGATAAAACCCAAGTCTGATAAAACTTTATTGCAGTGGAAAGTCAAGTTGTTGTTGTTGGTAATAAATAATAAACCAAACTACAAGAATCAGTTCCTCAGACTGGGATCTCCCGTTGCCTCAGTCATTCTCATTAAATCCTCTCAGAAAAATGAAAAGGAGTAGAATGACTTAACCAGGATCGGTACTTCCTGGTTCACCCAGTCGATCTAGGACCTTATAAGTGAGAACAAGCTCCAAGTTATGTGTGTTCTGTCTGTAGGTCAGTGTGCATTTGATTAGTTTGTTGATTTTCTTAATAATTTCTCGCAGAGAACTGAATGTTGAAACTGCTTGTTGGCCTTATGTAAATATTGCGCAGCATTTCCAAACAAAATCAGTAAAGACGTATTTGCGTGTCCTTGCATGTGGCTGAACTCCCTGTTTACTCACTCAGGAGGAAGAGTTTTATGTATGCATCTATGCCACACGTGAGGGCGACCACGTGCTTTTCCACCACGAGGGAGGAGTGGAGGTGGGTGACGTGGATGCCAAGGCCCAGAAGCTGATGGTTCCAGTGGATGGCAAGCTCACTGAGGACCTAGTCAAAGAGCAGCTGCTTACACAAGTTCCCGATGACAAGAAGGAGTACGGAAATCTTTTTCTAAAATTGTCTTTATTATTTAAAGACATATAAATGTCATTATTTAAGTATAAAACAAATGGGGACATTTGAATCTGAGTCATTTTGTGCTTTGAACCTAATTGGATCGCTTAGTAGTTCACAGTAGTAGTAGTTAGTGATGAGGCTCTCTGTTAAAACACAGTAGAGAGACATTTGAGCAGAGATGTGATTAGCCAGATATTGAATGAAATATAAAAAATAATACAGGAATAACTGTGTAAAATCGCAGTATATTTAGTTTCGCACCTTCTTGTTGCTTTTTATTTTCTTTCTTAACCAAAGAGGCTCTCTGTATTCAGAAAATCGTTTATCCTTTGCTGTTTTGACCTTGACTAATGTTTAGCATCTTTTATGTAAACTTAGCAGTGTGCTAAGTAAATACTCTTATCTCTTTTAAACAATACAAACTAGAAAGAAACAGAAAAGATACGCTCTAAGTATTCAGCGTGGCTGCTTAGCAATACTCTACCATTTTGTTCTTGCCTAGTAGTGAGACACAAAGCTTCACAAAAGTTCTCCTATGTGCTGATTAAGTCTAATTTTGTTTCCCTCCTCACAGTGTTTTGGCCAGTTTTATAGTCGGCCTCTTCAACTTGTATGAGGACCTCTACTTTACCTACCTTGAAATCAACCCTCTTGGTAAAGCTCTTTTATTCTGCAATATTACACTCAGCTCATTATGTATTGCAGAAACAAAAATGCTGATAAAATAAAAAAAAAGAAATCTAGAATACTACCATGCTATGTTAGTAATTCATTGGTGGAAAACGTACAAATTAACTCAAAATTTCTGCCTTTTCACAGTCGTCAATCAAGACGGAGTATATGTCCTTGACATGGCAGCCAAGATTGATTGCACAGCGGATTATATCTGCAAGGCTAAATGGGGGGACCTTGAGTTTCCTCCACCCTTTGGCAGAGAGGCGTACCCTGAGGTGAGATTTGAAGAGCTGTAATTGGACAGGCTGTTTGTTTATAGTTCTCTGGATCCTTTAATTTTCACTGATTTGATTTAAAATGTGATTTTAACTTAGATCTACTCATATGTACAATGATTGGTCAGTCCATTTCTCCATGCTTGTGCACTTACTGACCACAGTTTGGTATTCACCACTCTGTCTTGTTGCTTGTAGGAGGCCTACATAGCTGATCTGGATGCAAAGAGTGGTGCAAGTCTGAAGCTGACCCTGCTGAATCCCCGAGGCAGGATCTGGACCATGGTGGCCGGAGGAGGTGCTTCTGTTGTCTACAGGTAGTCAATCACATACAGCATAAATTTGAACTCTATACCACTTCTTTGCCTTTATGGCTTGAAGTTTCAAAGCTTGTTAGACTGAAGTTTTGCTTTCTAACAAACCCCAGCTTGACTTTTCTGTTGCCAGCTTAATATTTTTTAAGGTTAATTACAGCTGATAGAATCGCATCATTTCTCTTCTTCAGCGACACCATCTGCGATCTGGGTGGGGTGGACGAGCTGGCTAATTATGGCGAGTACTCAGGCGCACCCAGTGAACAGCAGACCTACGACTACGCAAAAACCATCTTGTCTCTCATGACACGTGAAAAACATTCTCTAGGTGGGTGAAGCCTGGACTTTATTACATTAGAGCTTATTTTCCTGAACGGGGTGAAAAGCTGGAGGAGGCTACAACTGTCAGATAAAGTCTGCGTTTGTTTGCTGTGTCCTTGAAGTGTAGAAATACTTGGTGGATCCTTCCTCTGCTGTGTGAGCTAATTGTGCTGCTTCAGTGTGACACACTGTTCACTATGTGGGGAGTTGCCAGCAATAGACTTCATATATGTTACTCGGGTTTTGAATTTTAGTCATGAGCATTTCGTAACACGTTTCCTTATCCTACAGGGAAAGTGCTGATCATTGGAGGAAGCATTGCAAACTTCACCAACGTAGCAGCCACATTCAAGGTGAAACGCACTGATATTTATCTGAAAATCTTCTGCACAGTAATAAAGAATCACTGTAATATTTAAAGAGAAAAAACAGCTTAACGGCAGGTCAGAGTAGAGAGCCATACTAATGCTTTGAATTATTAAATGGTCTCAATAAAATTTCACTCTTACTGGTTGATATACTTGTCCTTTTTTTACATAACAAAGCTGATCTGCTTGTCCTTCCTCAGGGCATTGTGAGGGCCATTAAAGATTACCAAGGCCCTCTGAAGGAACACGAGGTCACCATTTTTGTTCGACGTGGTGGTCCGAACTACCAAGAGGGACTCAGGGTGATGGGGGAAGTAGGTGAGTAAGACTGGACTAATACTCGGGCCTAACTTGTGAAATACATGACTTAAAGTATACATCCAAGTAGAGTCCTTGGATCTAGATTAAGGAGCGTTTTCTTCTATGCAGGAAAGACCACAGGGATCCCCATTCATGTGTTTGGAACTGAAACCCATATGACTGCCATTGTTGGGATGGCATTGGGCCACCGACCAATCCCTAACCAGCCTCCGATGGACGCCCATACAGCCAACTTTCTCCTCAATGCTAGCAACAGTGCAGCGGTATAATTATTCACTAATTCTTGGGTCAATATCGGATGATGTGTCAGTCAGTGCCCACTCTCTTAAAATTAGATGTTAGATGGGGTTTTGTTATAAGTTAAACAGTAAGTGGTTCACACAAGTACATTTCAGTGTTTGAGAAAGGAAAAGAAAAGGGTTATTGCTCAAAATGACATGTATTTATACTGTAGTTGTCTCCATAATGCAGGGTCATGACTAGCAAAAGGGTGTAACCTAAATCGGATTTATTTACTTTTTATGGAATTGAGAGTGACGTGTTTAAACACAGTTTAAGCTCGTTTAGCGCTTCTATAGTTTCATAGTGTGCGTGTGTCTTTGTTAGCTGTATGAACTTATGACATCGTTGGGGGGTGAAGCCACTGTTTCTAACTATGCTGTGCATGCTCTTTGGTAACCTCTGTCAGCCTGTCACGTAAATCTTTCCTTTTTCTTTGCCAGACTCCAGCTACAACAAGGACTGCTTCATTCTCCGAGCCCAAGTCGCCCACTGATACCTGCCCGGCCAAGAAGTCTAAAGCAGGGCTTCCAACAGGTAACGAACACAGTCATTCATGCTGAACTGCTTCCTATCAACAAGATCCCATATTTACTCATGCGCCTCTGCTTTTTTTTTTTTTTTTTTTTTT